GACAACTATCATATTAAATTTGACCCTTGAACTTTGCCCTTATTAAATAGATCCCAAGGAGTAAATGAAATAAATAAATAAATAAAAAATAAAAAAACCCTATAATTATCGAATCTGGTCCCCATACTAATTACCTACTATTTTGCCCATTAATTCCTACTAATTAATTAGCTGTTAGATTTAGAACACGTTTAAATCTTGTTAGGGAAGGAAAGTTGAGTTACGTAAGCCTAATTTCTAAAATTTAAAACTTTCTGATTTGTATTTAATGAGTTTTTTTTGTTCAATAATTATAAAGGTACTTCTAGATGTGTCAACTTTTACCGTCATCACCTCGATATCTCCAATCACAATTTTCGATAGTGATGAAACACTGACTACTCGCATCTCCTCTACGTACTTCGATCTCGATTGCTCATAAGAGACGACGATGCAGAGGTGGTGTCTGCCATTGTAGCTAGCAATATTGATAGAGTCGACGCTTATTGCTATCAAATCGTCGTACGACTTGAGTCTTGGTAATGAATTTTGCATTCTTCTTGATAACCCTTTATTTTAGTCGAGATATTCTAGACATTTTTTCGAGTATTGCTCAATAATGGTAAAAAGATTGAATATATGGTCGATTCTAATTATTTCAATTTCAAAATCATGAATACATGTAATTTACATTCGTGAATATTATTTCTTTAATTTAAAAAAAAAAAAAAGGAAAAAAGAAGGGCAAATAAATATCTCTCTCCACTTCGCCACGCTTTCATGGTCGTCAAGGATCTTATTCACGAAACACGTGTTCCTCCCCTGACCGTAAATCAACATGTTTGATCCAACGGCCACCATTCGCCGTCGAGTTGGAACTTCCACCGGCGCTACCAATATGAGCAATTTCCAACCCCCGTCCCACCGGCAAAAAAACAGACTTAACGACACGTGTCCCTTTCCGAAGCACCCCTTGCCATCTAAACCCCAACACCTTTCGTTCCCATGCATTTTTACATACCAAAACTGCCCCTCTTTCACTCGCCCTCACAACCCTCAAAACCCTAGCAAAATCCTTCCCCCTACAATCCGCCACAAGAAAATCCACCTCCTCCACCTCCGCCGCCACCGCCTCAGCGTCTCCAATCACAATTTCCGGCACCGACGACACTCCAGCCTCCCGCATCGCCTCCACGTACTTCGATCTCGACCGTTCGTCGGCAACGATGCAGAGATGACGTCCACCGGTGTGGCCAGCGGCGATGGCGAGGCCGACGCTCGTGGCTACCGGACCGCCGTACGACCAAGTCTCAACGATGAGTTTTGCGTTCCAGCCGGCGGCCATGGCGGAGAGAAGTTCTGCGACGCCGAATTCGCTGTAAATCTCGCACTACAGCAAAAAGGCAACGAAATTTATTCGTTTTCTTCTTAAAAAATCGCATAAGGATTAAATGATTGATGAACAAATGAATTGAACTTACTGATTTGACTGTGTCGATATACGCTTTGGAAGCTCTCTCCGGCGACCAAACAAGCTTCATAATTTCTCAGCTTTTTTTTTTTTTTTTTTTTGGGAAGAAAACGGGATTTTAGGCTTTTATTTTCATATAATATATATAGAGAGAGATGGAGAGAAAAAGGGGCGTTTCGATAATGGGAGTTGACAATTGCACTAAGCATATGAAAATATTGGATAGGCAATAAACCTGAGATTATTCTTCAAAAAAATAATAATATATTTTCTTTAAAAAAAAAAATACTTATAAAGTATTTTAAGTGACAATTTGTTTGATAAAAGTGATTCTATCTATATTATAAATATATTTTTATTTCTTATTATAGATATACTTTTGTTTATTATCACTTATTTATTAATATTTTTATAAAGCTGCTTTTAACATTTAAAATTATTCCATAAAATATACTAAACATAAATTAAATTATTCATTTTTTTAAAGGCATTTATGAAAGAATAATTTTATTTTAAAAGCATTTTTAAAAATGAGTCTAATCTTTGATAAATTAATTATTATTTTTTAAATAATTGATTTAATAGACATAAATTTCAATATTATTTTTTAGTTTACAAAACTTAGCACATAAATAACAAATCAAATAAATAAAAATTAAAAATTAAAAGCTAAAACAAATTTGAAGTTTACTTAAATATAATTTGAAATGATAAATGGGGGAAAAAACGTTCTCAAGTAGGAGTGTACACAGATTGTGTCGGGTTGAGAAATTTTTTTAGACCAATCTTACATTTTGAGTTAGTTGGGTTGATGACTCGAGTAACTCCATAAACAATTTTTTGATTGGGTTGGATTGTCCGGTTATTTTTTATTATTTAAAAAAAAGTCAATTTATTTATAATATAGGTTAATTAATAGCTAAAATATTATAAAACTCAAATATCAAATATACAAGTCCAAGTTATTATTAATATTGCCGGTTAAATATTTTTAATATTCATAATAATTTTTTTTTTTAAAGTTGGGTTGTAACCCTATTTTGGGGTTGGTTTGATTACTGGTCCAAAAAAATGTAAACTAACAAATTAATTCAAAATTTAATTTAACTTAAACAAAAAAAATTAATCGAATTCAACCCTTAAGGTTTGAGTTTGATAGTCTAAGTTGATCAGATTATCGAGTATTTGAAATTCCTAATAAATCAATAAATAAAGAAGAGGAATGTGTTGGTTTTGGTTTCAATAAACAAAATAATTAAATATATAATTTTTTTAGAAAATACAAGTAGAGGGAAACGAAGGGATGGGGATGATGATGATTCCTCTTGTAAAGTCAAACACGTCTCTGGTTGCAGTACAAAACAACTTAAAACCGTTGTTTATACAGTCCAAAAAGTCTTCCAAAAACCATAACACAGCCCAAAAAGCCTACGTCATCGGATCGAATCCTTATCAAGAAACAAAAACACAAAAAATAAAACATCCACTTTTTTATAAACAAAATCTAACAAACCCTAATTTAAAATAAATTAATTAAATTCAGCATTATAAATAATATATATATATCCACGGTAAAAAAAAAGTTAATGTATTTACTCTCGATCGAAAGGTTAAAAAAGTAAATTTTTAATTTTGGTTTAAAGACAAAAAATAAGTTATAAACCATACCAATATTTATAAATTTCATATATATTTTGATTATTTATAAATTTCATATATATTTTGATTTAGTACTAAATTCTTTTGAGTGAAGAGAGGTGAGACAATTTATTAAAAAAAATTACGTTAACATTTCACTTAATTAAGCTAAATAATTAAATAAGTTGACATTAATTTTATTTTCAATTAATCAAATGAGGAGACATGTCACAACTAATGTTTTTCTAATACGAATTCTCTAATCTATAATTAAGTGTTTATAATATTTTATTATCTCCAAGGGTCTGTGTTTTATTTCTTTATATCGTTAGACAGATTTATTAGATATAAAATTAAAATTTTAAATTATTATTATTATTATTATTTTTAATAAAAATAAAGTGTAGTTCTTTATTGACTTGGGTTCAGAAGTCTTAATAGCGTCCAAATTGAAGGCATTGAGAACGAGGCTAAAATCCAGCTTTTTGATTAGGGTTTCCAAAGTCTATTTGATCCATTATGTTAGATTGCGTTTCGCTGCCGATTTTGAAAAATAAATAAATAAATAAATAAAAAGGGACTCCAAACCATTTCATTCACATTTGGGCCTTCAAAGTACATCTATTCCACTCACATTATTAGACCCTTTCATTTCAACAATTATTTCCTATTTTTATTTATTTTAGGTCCCTTTATTTTATTTTTTAAAATTTTTTAAATATCTATTTTTATTATTGAATTTTTTAAAAAAACTCTATTTACCCATAAATATTTAAAAGTGTAATAATTTTTTAAACATTTCAATTTAAAATAATAATTACAAAATCTCCTCGCTCCTCCCTCCGTCTTCTCATTCCATTTTTGATCGAATTTCGACCTGTTGCCACTCCGACGATAATTTTCAGTGCCATTCAAATCAAAGGCTAAACGATGATGGAGTCGAGATTGAGACAGAGAATGAGGTCATGCTATTACACAACCAATCATTTATGCAATTATTCGAAAAGTGAGGAAGCTGAGTCATCGTTAAAAAAAAAAAAAAAAAAAAATAGGAAATTTGAGAAAGGAGAGGACAAAATTTGTTCACAGGCAACAAAATTAGAGATGGAAAAAGCAGTGTCCTTTTGTCTTTCTTATTTTGTTCCTTCTCCTAAGGGTTCCGACAAATAATATTCACAAGTCTAACAATACACACTCCGTTTCACCTGTCGTCCGAAGAGAACGACAAGACTTCCGACATCACCGCCCATGTCGAATTTTGGATTTCTTTACAATTCTCGAACCTTTTTATTTATTTAATTTAATTTAATTTATTGGCAAATACCTAAGGACTTATTATTCCCATTGTTGCAAAATCATTGGATTTCTAAATTATTTAAACAAATCACTCCATAATGAATTTCTCTTATTCCCACTTTTTTTTTTCTTTTTGTCTTTTGGATTTTTTTAAAAAAATTTATTTATTGATTTAAAACAATTTGTTCCCAACTTTTTGACTATTTATCGAACTTTTTTTTTTAAAATTTTTAAAATGATGTCTGATTATTTATTAAAAAATGTTGTTGAAAACACTTTTTTTTATGAATAATAAAGCATCATAAAATGTTTTTTTTTTTTTTTTCAAGCCACTTTAAAAAAAAATTCCAATAATTTTTTAATGAATAACTAAACATCATAATTTTTTTTTAATATTACTATTTTTTTAGAGAAAAAAAATTATTGAACACTAACCAAAATTCATTCCAAATTTACAGAAATTTTGGATTTAATAAACCGACCTTAAAATATTTTTTTGACAAGGTTGGTTAATGAGACGATGAGAAATAAGCTTCATGGTCGATGAAAATTGGTTCATCTCTTCGTAACCCACAGATTTTCCTAACCTTCATATGCCAAATTTAATTATTAAAAATGACAGTAATTTGCTCTAATTTACATTATTCTTCAACAAAGCAATCTGGTTTTTACAAAGACATGCCATTTTTTTTGTACCTTTCTGCATTAAACAGTACAGTAGCACGAAAAATACTTATAATAGACCTTCATTTACAGCATATATTAGTAGTCAGTGCTCTGCTTAACTTCTATATGGCTTCATCTCAAAGCTTCAAGGCATTGACTCTACAGAAATCCCAAACGTTCCCATTTCGTCGAGTTCTTGGACGATGACATCCATTGTCGGGCGAAGCTCGGGATATTCGTGGGTGCAGATCACTGCAATTTTCCCCAGTTTATCTGCTTCTGATTCTAAGAATCTTCCTTCAAGCTTAGAGTCAATGAAGTCCTCAAACCGACGTGACTCGATAGTGTTGTAGTTCAACTTCACGATGCTTGTTTTCCCGGATATGATTTGAAGTACGATCATTCCAAATGCATAGACGTCGCTCTTCTCCGTGAATCGACCTGTCGTCGTGTACTCGGGAGGGAGGTATCCCAATGCAGCACTGACTTTTAGCATAGAGAAAATTATGTCATCTGCAAGAAGTTTGTGCAGGCCAGAATCTGATAGCAAGGGGTTGTAATTTGCATCAATGAGCACTTTATCAGCTGATATGTTCTGGTGAATCAATGCTGGTTTCTTTCCAATCTTTCTGTGCAAATATCCTATACCTGGCTCCAAAAAAACGTTTTCGAAGCAAAAATGAGTGAAACCATTCGTGAATCAATGCAGATTATATCGTTCATGAATAACTCGAGTTCATATCTCACGAAAAAAGTAACACAAACCTTTAGCGATTCCACAAATGATCGACACTCGGGTGGACCAATCGAGAATCTTCCCGCTGCCATTGTTGTCATCAAGATATTGCATCAAAGTTCCATTCGTGACGAAATCGTAGATCAGATAGCACTCTCCTCGGTCTTTCGAACAGCATAAGCCTCTGAACTTAACGAGATTTTCATGGTTCATCGAGATAAGTATCTTCAAGCCCTTCAAGAATTCAGCTTCATCAGATTTGCAGCTTGTCTTGCCAATGCACTTGATAGCAACAACTGATCCATCTCTCAACTTTCCCTTGTAAAGAGCAGAAAAGTTGTTCCTCCCCAACAAGTTAGCCTTTGAGAAGCATTGTGTTGCTCGCTCGACATCTTCGAGATTAAACATGAAGCTCTTGAATACCTCTCGTGACGATGCACTCCCACCGTGATCTTTGGCTAGCGGATCCCATCCATTTGAATACTCGAGATTGATGAGAGGAGAAGCATTCCTCCTGTAAACTTCCCTGACTTGGCTAGTAATCATTCGTCTACTTATACCATTTGAACTACTTCCGAATTTATGTTCATTACGACGATACCATGAAAACGTTGCAAGACCAATGGCCGAGAAAGCAGCAAAAACTCCAATCACTCCGAGAGCCACTCCGACTCGTGAAGATTTCGACTGTCTCAAACAGTTACTTCCATTGCAATCGTGGCGTAAATTAGCTGACTCGGGAATATCTCTTGCAGAGAGATTAGTAGGTAGTTGGGGTAGAAATGGTTCGGGTCGGCTCGGATTCAAACTTTTCAACTTACTACAAGGATTCAGGTCCCGAAATCCCACTCCACAAAGACTCGGGTTGTTATCGTACACAAACTTTTCCTTCAATCTCCTAAAACCTGAATTTCCATTGAGAATGATTACACAATGACTAACTCAACACAAAGAGAGATCACAAATGATTCGCCATAGACAAGAACACGTTACCTGGAGGAACGTTACCGGTTAGCGAGTTGTTTTGAACATTAAGAACTTCAAGAGCAGGAGCATCAGCTAATATCACCGGAATTGGACCGAAAAACTTGTTGTTACTCAAGTCCAACCGTGTTAACGCAGTCAAGTTCCCCAAACTAGCAGGAATTGCTCCTGTTAGCTGATTATACTGCACAGCAAGAACATTGAGCACCTTCATATTTCCCACTTGTGACGGTATCCCACCAGTTAATTTGTTGTAACAAAGCTGCAGCACTGAAAATAAAGATCCCCCAACTCAAATCAACTACTAACCACAAAAAAAAGCCCCAAGCCAAGCTTTCAATTCAGCTTTAGATATACATACACTGATTCAAAAGCTTACAAAACAAGCAGCCGCTGCCCTCAACATTAAGTTTATCTAATCTATCCCTTCAGTAGATTAACCATTATGCAACAAATAAAAGAAGTTCATGCTACATAAGTTCTAGTTCTAGCAGATTTCAAGTTCTTCACTCAAGCAAATACAAGAACAAGAACTACTTAAACTCACCTTGAAGATTTACCATATTCCCGATCTCAAAAGGAATCTCCCCGGAGAGTTGATTCACATTGAGATACAAATCAGTCAGTTCAGTCAAACTCGCAATTTCCTTAGGAATTTCGCCGATTAGAGCATTGAAATGCAAGTACAGCCCCGTCAAACTCTTAAGTCCAGCGACGGCTGCCGGAATGTAGCCGGAAAGCCCCATCCCCTGCAGAGAAATATTCACCACTTTTCCTTGCTCGTTACAAGCAACTCCTTCGAAATAACCACCACATGGATTTGAAGACGGACTCCATGACGTCAACAAAGTGTTCTGCGGGTCTAAAGAAGCTTTAATCGCCATTAAAATGGAAAGCTCGGACGACTCAGAAATAGCAGAAGGGGAAGAAAAAACCAGAAAGAAAATGGAAATCAAGAACGAGTGGAATACAGACATGGCTGAAACAGAGGAATCTCTCAAATTCTCACACAAATGAGTAATGATTTCACCGATACACAATCTCTCGCATGCGATGGAAAGAACTCGAAGGCAGTGCTTAGAATCACACTCTTGCCGACGAATCAGCGCTTGAAAATCAGGACTTAAATGATATCTTCAATTCAGTCGTCTGTGATTCTGAAGGTAACAGTGAAAGGTCTTCAATGGCGTTGGAAATGGAGGACTGATCGTGGCGGGAGAGTCAGAGAATCGGAGCAGAGAGAGATTGAGCGAGAAAAGTGGGAGCAAAATGGAAATGGAAATGGAAATGAAGAGCGTTATCTTGTGAATGAATGCGAGAGAGATCACTGACAAACCTACGGCCACAAAACGCCTCACAATCCCATAGCCTTGAGATTCCTTCTTCTCTCTCTTTCCCTCTGTCTCTTGTACTGATTCATATGCAAGAGTTCAGTCTCAGTAAAAGCTGTGAAACAGGGCGCTTCATACTTGGTACAATATTTATATGCATTATGCACGTTATATTATATAGTCTAGTGAAATTACAAAGTATATATTATAATTTTATTATTAACCTAACTATACCTCAAACATTATTAAATCATCTACCTCACCATATTATTTAACTTAAAAAAATAATTTCGGCATATGTTCTTTATTGGTCTAAGATTCGAGCATATTCACATGTTAAATTAAAAAAAAAAAAATTATAATTCTATTTAATTTTTGGAGCTGAAATGTTAAAATTATATATTGTCCAAATCCACGGCTACTCGATATTGTCCTCTTTGACCTTCACTCAATATTTTAAAAACGAGTTTGGGAGAGGTTTTCATACCCTTATAAAGAATGCTTCGTTTTTCTCTCCAACCGATGTGGGATCTCACAATCCACCATTTTAAAGCCCAGCGTTCTTGTTGGCACTCGTTCCTCCCTCCAATCGATGTGAAATTTGGATTGTGAGATCCCATATCGGTTGGAGAGAGGAACAAACGAACAAAACATTTTTTATAAGAGTGTAGAAATCTCTCTGTAGCAAACATGTTTTTAAAATTTTGAGAGGAATCCCGAAAAAAAAATTCAAAGAGGACAATATCGGTCACGGTAGACTTCAGTTATTACAATGTATATATATATATATATATATATATATAATTGTATATGTTTTAAAACCTCAAAATTTTAATTTTAATTTTTTTTTTTGAAGGATTAAGATTCTCTTTTATTTATTTATTTTCTAGGCACCCATGTTAATTTTCATTAAACTCCTCCCCCATGGCTGCCTAAACTCAATTTATTTAAATAATTTTCTGTCATTTTATGAAAGCCAAATATAATAAATATGCCTAACCTTAGATATAGCTTTCAGTAAATCCTACTCGTCTGTTTCGTGTATTTATTGACGTTACCGGTTACTTTAATATATCCCAATTGTCTGTCAGCCTGTCACAAGAAGCTGTAATTTTTATATTAATTTCTATTTTTCTATAAAATAGTTAACATTTCCTTTTATAAATATTTTTTTTATATATAGATAAAAGAAAATATTTAAGTATCGATTTATTTTCGAAAACGCGAATATATATAAAGAAAATGGAAGAAAAAAAATTTGTTTTTGTTTTTTTTTTTTTTTTTTTTTTC